ACTTCTGATGGTAGAGGTCGCCAAAATCGAGCAGGCTTCCGGATGGGGTACGATGGGGTACCTCTGTGCCGATCAAATTTTCACTCTTGCTCTGACCAGTAAACAATACCGACGGTAATGTTGCACTGGTTTGCCAATTTTCTCAATTTTAAGGCTATCGGATGATGTGGTTAATCTTGAAATGCCATGAGATACTTTCGCACATCGTTTCTATTTTGGAAGAGATGTATGCATGAATCATGCATGATGCGAAAATTGAAAGCTACCGATGTTGATCAAACGATGTTGATGAGAGCTCTCTGAATCGTTCCGACTAACTTTGGGGTTCGCCTATGTTATTGAACATTGTCTTCTTCTCAGAAACTGCGCTGACCCTAGTAAAGATGAAGGTCTCATTCCAGAGGAAAGGTACAGCCCAAGATACCCTGCTAGATATCTTGCTGACCTGGAGGATGCAGATGATAGCTTTCTGACAAATGGTATGAAAAGTGGGCTTGGTCACATGACGGTTTCCATTTGCAATACGGCTGCGAAAGCCAGTCTCTTCCTCAACGTCCAACATTCAAAAGTTATGAAGAATCCATCTGGCATAAATGATCTAGAAGTAGAACAGAGAAGTGAAAACCTTCAAGCAGTTAACCAGTTTAAGCATCTCGGTTCCATATTCTCCAGCAATGGCACGATCCAGACTCAGCAGTCTTTACCCTCGATTCGGGTTATCTTCTGTCGATGTTCAGACGCTCTCACGGGACCGGGAATGTTGAACAATTCTGATGCTGATGTCGTTGCCACCGCAAAAATATGAGCTGTCATTGAAACTCAGGACTTTCCCAATTTAATGATTATATATGCAAAACTACAACTATTAGCGCAAAAGAAACAAGTATAAACCAGTTATTAGCAAATGCACCAAAAAACTATTTAAATTTCGTAAGGCATATTGTACATTAGCATTATCTGTATTCTACATCCACAAAAATTATAAAAACGAAGAAAATTACGATACAATACCGATTTTACGCGTAACTTACAAACTCCTAAACAATAACAGCCAAAACAATGCCGCACGGATACATCCTGATCAGCAGGTAAAGTCAGTTGACAATCTCAATGAATAATCCGAATACTAACTCCCAGAATCAGAAATTTCCAAAGATACTGAAAAATGGCGTAAAATACTATAATAACAAAAACAAAATAATTAGACACATCATTAAAAATAATTTTTTGATCAATCCACCGACAATTTAACCTGTGTCTTGCGGGTTTTCTTCAAAGTACGTGGGTGGTAGAATTTTGTGAGTTTCGTTTGTTGACGGTTTATGGGTTCGGGATGGTGCTGTTGGTCAGTCACCGGATCAATCACATTACCTTCATCGCTATATATTATTAAACTGTGCTTTATACTGCTTTTCAGTATGATTATTAACACACAAACGAAATTTTCAAATTTCCAAGGTGATTCGATACTGCTACACTTAGTGCACTGAGACGTGACTCCACCTTGCGGGGAAAAGAGTTACAGCGTTCGCTCAACGCAACGACGCTATCGCGTGCCGGCGGTAGTCAGCCTAGTGATATGGTGGCCATCATTGTATCTCGTTCACGAAGCGTTTACCGCTAG